GCACTTTGGAGCTGTTTTTGTGTTTGCGACACTTCGTATGACCTAATATCAGAGGACATTGTTAAACCTTACCAACAGAAGTTATTGTAAGTTTAGTATGGAAGAAGTTTAGATCAAAATCTAAGTTTCAAGTGGGTTGAGAATTCCAATTGTTGGTTCTTCTCTGCTCAGGGTAAGGGATTTCTTTGTATGCTAGTTCCTCCACATGTATTATGATGATCGAAAGGAAAGAAAAAAATAAAAGAAAGCGTAGAAAGTTACTGAAGTGGAGAAAACCTATTTGCTTTCATTCTAGGGCGTAAACAACCAAACATATGCTTTATTCTCTTGCAGCCTCAATACTGTATGTAAAATCCATCTACGAGATGCAATCTCATATCTCTGAAATTCTATAGTAACTACAGCATAACTTATATTGATCTAAAGAATAATACGATGTAGAACGGGAAAATTTCTCAGCTTTTTATACAAAGTCTGCAGGTTTCCCGACCTTTATGTTCTTCTCTGTCAAATAGCTGATGATAGCATTTTTCTGCCAGCTCTTGAAGCTCCTGCCCAAAAAGGTACCAATAATCAAAATCAATATATATAACCTGATTCCTCCAAAAAAAAAAAAAAAGAAAGAAAAAACATGTAGTCTGAATTGAGGAACTGAATATACTCAGTTACCCGAAGATTTTTAAAAGGAACTAACTGGTATTCATACATATAATCTGATTTGAGGAACCAAAAGATGCTTGGTTACCCAAAAGAGAAAAATGAACTTACTGGTGTTCACAATAGAGAAACTTACAGTGAAATTCCAGGACATTCAAATATTTTATTTGATGAGAAATTAGAAACATGGCCTACATCCTATAAAAAGTTCATCTATAATGTACATCTATGAACAAGTAGAATTAAACATGACCTGCATCCTATAAAATACAGGTTTACGTGTGTCCAAGTGCATAGGCTGGATCACTTCCACCAATGAGAACCTCAAGCAGCAGGTTTAAAACTCCAAGATGCTAGATGGTGAGAAAAATGTTAGCCAACAGAGAGATTTCACAAAAAAAATCCCGATAACTTCAGGGCGTTTACCACGAAACCCTGTGTTTTGTTTATTCCACTAAACCCTCAAAGTTTTCCCACAAAACCCCCAAGTTAACACAATTATTTATAAGGCCTGTCAAGTACATTGCTTCAGTTGAGCAATATACCCTTCCGCTAGGTCTCCTTTATATACATATTTTTAATTTAATATGTTTTGGTTTAAAATACCCTTTCCACCAGATTCCCACAAAACCTCCTGATTTTTTGATTTGTTACCCAAAAAGGCCCTAAACATATAATTTAGTTCCACAAAACCCTCCTAAATGTTTGATTTGTTCCCACAGAACTCCCAACTTTTGGTTTGTTCACACAAAACCCTAAGGCCTATCGGTTCCAGTGTGGTCGGTGTAGATAGAATAGGAATGCACGAGGTGACAAATCATTCCTCCGTGACATCTGATGATAGAAATAATGTATGGTACCTGCCCACTAAAGGTCCAAGGGCTTAACAGCACCTCTGTCATTCAAATTTGGGCGCGTAGGGTTTTGTTTTTTTTATTAATGTGGTATTTATTTTTTGAGGGAGGGGGTGTTGCAACTAATCAGAGGTATTGGGGTTTTGTTTCATTGAGGGTATTTGGGTAGTTTGACATTGAACAATAACACTGTTAGAGGGGTATGTTTATTTATTTATTTATTTATTTTTGGTGGTGGTGGGGGTGGGGGGGGGGGGAATCACCCTAAAAGTGTTGTTGTTTATTTTTTTCCATTTTTTATTTTTTATTTGTTATTTCTTTTATTTTTTTATTTAAATTTGCCCATTTCTTGACGTGAAAATTTAATGGTCTTCAATGAACAGCTAATGTTTCAGTAAAGGATACAAGTGCTATAAGACGAGAAAGTATACAAAATGCTTGGAGCAGACATGCAATGGCAGTTATGTATCCTTATGGAATATTTTATGCAGGTATTAGTGCTGCTGATGTGTCTCTGATTCTAAATTATAGTTTGAACTACAATGAAAAAATACAAGACTGCTCAAATGGAAACTGCTACACAACTAGTCTCCATCTGTCAGATATATACAAAATGAGAAGGGAACAGGTCCAAGAACTGCCTGAGAATATGAACTTACTTTTGGTCAAGATGTGCTATAATTACCCCTCCAGGAAAAGCAGCTTTGGTAGCTTCATATGCAACATTGATGGATTGTTTCCATGTTCCACCAATGTCATTCTCATGGCCATTTCCTTTACTCTGTTTAGGATCTACCATTGGCAAAGAATATCCTGATAACAAGTGGCCCACCCAAACACCATCCTTCCTGAATTTATTTCAGATCAGTACAGGGAAGTGAAAAATGCAAAATGATAACATGAAAGAAAATAAAGTTAAAAATCAGAGTTTTATCAAGATATTAATTTATAGCCAGTAGTACATTTTGATAATGCAGCTAAAGAAACCATGTGAGGGAATGACCAATACAATTTGATAAATACAAATAGAGACACCATAGAATAAAATAGGCACATGTAGTAGTATTTATTATTCTCTCACATATAAAGTTGAGTACTAGTGAGAAACAGGACTTTCCAAGGTTTTTAAGGCTCCTCCAACTGATTGTGTAAGGATGCATAAATTTGTATACAAGGAAAGGACTCATTTATAAATTTAAAACACATCTGTGTCTTTCAGTATCTATTGATCAGGAGACATAAGCTTTATCGAAGTGGTCTCAATATTATTTTATGAAAACTTCTGCAGTACATCAAATAACATGAAATCCATGCTAGTATTCTTGTATGAGTTTTCCGATCCCGTGGAACTTGTTAGACACACGAAAGCATCCATCCATACCCCAGTACTTCGTATACTTCTATACAGGTCTTCACATGGCATTAGTTTAACAGGAAAGTGTCCAATCATATTCCTAATTAAGTCACACCCATTCAATTGAATCTGACTAAACATGGATGGCCTTGACTAGCTGATCAATAAAAGACAAAATAACAAAGGTTAAACTTTTTTTCGTATGTTAATTGAGTTACAGTTTAGTCTTCAACTCTGATTTGGTTTTAGGCTAAAACTAACACCATACTTACTAGGTGGTCACTGGTCAGACACACCTCAAAATCAGTTAGATTTTAAATGACAAATAAGCCAGATCTGAATCTCTTGAAAGCTTTTGATGTAGTTCGTTTACCTTGCGATTTCTGATTACCAGTTTCTTGCCATTAAAACTCTAATGTTCCCTTGATCTTATCAGAATTCAGTATTCTTATGATTTTTTCAACTCTAAAGAATTAAGTTCCCTTCTTTACAATTTCATTAGACATACAAAACCACATATCGTCTGAACCATTTCTCACTTTCCTTCATCTATATATAAATCCACGAACAGTTCAAGAAGACAATTCATCAACATCCTCCTCATCCACCACCAATAGTGCAGACAGGACATTTGTCCCAAGCCCTTTCACAAAAGAGGAAATGTCCCAGCCTCTATATAACACAAGGCACAAGTTCTCAACCCACCAATAATTTAAAGGTTTCAACACATGCAGCTCCGAGGTCAAAACAGAACTGCAGTGTTATCCATATCCAACACCAACAAAGCAGTAACAGGTCAGCAAAGTGACCCCCTTTCATCATCTTCATGATTTAACATGGGGGAAGAGAACAGAGTTTCGATAACAGTGAAATGTCAGTAGAAATTGGGCATTTCCATTACCCAATATACTAAGAGGCAGTCATTTCCTCTCTACACAAATAGAACACATATATCTTTTATTGGCCTCACAAGGAAAAAGATAGTAAAATCTTTATTACGAGAAGAAATTAAGAGGAATTTAAGATCCCTCCACATGGCCTACCATTTCTAATACACTGTAAATTTACAAAACAAATATATAAGTACTTAAAGCTTTTTACAACAGAGATGTTTTATCAATATTACCAAGAATGAAAATTTTCTTTTAGGATATCATTTTTATGGTTTTAAAAGCTGCAGTGGATCATAAAAATTAAATGAGGGGGAAAAAATTATAGCAGTGCTTACAAAACAATATCCATGTGACGAGGTGCATAGTGGCCACCTCCTACTCCGAGAAGAACTTTATTTCTACCTTCATTCCTGTATCAGAAGATGATAGAATAAATATAAAAGATACATAAGCAAAATCACTCTATAAGTAATTCCAGACATGAAATAAATAAAATACACTAATAAGTTCTATTTATAGAGATCTCTTTCTGGACAAATAAACATCCCATGAATGTTAAGAGTACGCTGTAGTGTGTGTGTGTGTGTATTTCCAGTAGGATTTCTTGCTTTACAAAGGATTTGTGCAGGCTTCTGAGAAGGGATCAAGTATGTACTAAAATGTCAAGGAACTTTGTTTGTTCTTGCATACTGTTGTCTGCTAGCTACACTGTTCATACCTGTACCAATCTCCTACACCAGCACCTCCTTCCATCCCAAGTCCTTTCCACATAAGCTGCATATCAAAGGTTGTAAAGTAATTACATGTTAGTAAAGAGCTTGCCTTTTCTTTTCATATATTATTCTGGTTAAAAGACTGTAAATGATGTAAAAATTTAAAAAAAAAATTCGTAACTTGAAGCATTAAACAACTAAACAATTGATCATAAGCACTCCAAGGAGGCATGGACATTCCAGTCACCATGTTCCATGTTTCTACGATAGCTTGATTAAGGAGATAAGGATTACAGCAACGAAGAAGGAAAAAGTAATAAGGGCCCATGAGACATTTTCCATTTGCTCCTCCAATTTCCCTAACAAATTACAAAATACTGACTTTAGTTAGATACTACACCACCTGTTCAAACTTATCTGCCTTTAATGGGTAGGCAATTAGCCGCACCTCTTGTCGAATATACTATCATTGCCCTTTAAAAGGTTTTACTTACTTTCTGTGTAAAATCATGCTGCATCTACTATTCCTTATACACATTAGGTTTAAGTGAGCTTTTGGACTTTAAGCTATTTGATATTACACCGATTTCAGAACCACCAACAGAGATCATAAACCCGTTTTTATTGTCCATTATTCTTGTCCCCTTTGATCATCTCTACTGCAACAGTGCCATACCGCTCACCACCACCCCGCCTTCCCACGACCTACCAACGCACCCACATGCACATATGTGCAACGCGCTGTGTGTGAACAGTAACAAGCATGTTGGTGGCTTCGGCAGATTGATATGACAAGTATGTTCGCAAGGACAAATCCATGTTCAAAGGATTTGAAGAAAATTTAGATGTCACAGAGGTGCTAATGGGAAACAATGCTTGTGCAAAAAAAATTGTTGGAAAAGGTATCGTTGAGATAGACTTTACTTCTGGAAAAAGTTGTCTCTTACAAATGTGTTGTATGTGCACGAAATTAGGAAAAAAAAATAGTTTTCATTGATCTTCTTTGTAAGAAAGGATTTTGGGTTGCTGTTGAGTCAAACAATGTAATCATGTCTAAGAACGGCGTGTTTGTAGGAAAGGGCTACTCTAGTGATGAACATATCAACTCAGTATTAATATAAAGTTATATCTTCGGCTTATTTTGTTGGATCTTCTTATTTATGGGTATCATTTAGCACGTTTAAAATTTGGTATTTTAAAAATATGAAAAGTTAAACTTGATTAATTTCTACGGTGATATTGCCAAATGTGAAATATGTGCTAAGTCTTAAACTTACAAAGAAATTTTTTCCGAGCGTTACTCATAGAGATTCTAAAACATTAGACTGAGTACATTCTAATATATGTGAATTAAATGACACCTAACTAGAGTAAAAATATATTTTATAACTTTTTCTATGATTGCAGTAGATATATGCATATTTATCTTTTAAGAACAAATTATGAAGCATTTGTCATGTTTAAGAAATATAAAGCTGAAGTTAAAAATCAACTTGATAAAAATTAAGGTTTTACATTCTGCTAGAGGTAGTGAATATTTTTATGATATTTTTAATATGTTTTGTGAAGAACATGATATTATTTATCAAAGCACAACACCTTAACATTCCCTAACAGAACGGTTTAGCCGAACAAAAAAATATCACTTCACAAGGAATGGTGAATTGCATGTTTAATAATGCTAAGTTATGTTTAAATATGGGGAGAAACACCTTACATAGCATGCCATATTCATAATAGAATTCCCTCTAACAAGTCAAACATAAGCCCTTGTGAGTTATAGAAAGGTAGAAACATAATATATCATATCTTAAAGTGTGAGGGTGTTTGGCTTATTATAGGGTTCCTGATCCTAAAAGAACGAAGCTAGATCCTAGAGCCATTAAAAGAGTTTTTGTATCATATGCTGAAAATAGTATATCATATAGACTACTTGATTATCTTCTAATTCTACAGATATTGGACAAATTTAATCAACTTGTTTTAAAGAAAATTAACACTCTATTTAGTCCCAATATCAAATTGAGTGTCAATTATAGCAGAGCTATAACACAACTTGAGTATGCTAGTGCAATAGGTTCTTTGATGTATGTTATTCATTGTACTAGACCTGATATTGCATTTGTTGTATTCAAACTAAGTAGATACACTAGTAAAGTGTAGAACATTGGAAAAACATTTCTAAGATTTTTGAATATTTAAAGAAAATCAAAAATCCTAACTTGTTCTGTATTGATTATTCGACTATATTAGAAGGATGCACTGATGCAAGCTAGATGACTAGTATAGTAGACAACTAATCTATTTCTAGAAACTTGGTGGAGGACCAACTTTTTGGGTGAGCAAGAAACAAACATGTATCTCACACTCCACCATGGAATATGAGTTCGTTGCTCTAGCGACAACTGGTAAAGAAGTTGAATGAATTAGAAACTTATTGCTGGATATTAAGTTGTGGCCTCGTCCAATACCTGCTATACTGTCCACTGCAAAAGTCAAGCCACTTTGTCAAGGGCTTATAGTTATACCTATAATGGTATGCCTAGACACATAAGTCTAAGACATGAATATAGGAGACAATTGGCACAAGATAGTGTCATAACAACTGTCTATGTTAAGACAAGTAAAAACTTGGCTGATCTATTAACAAAACCTACTGCTAGAGAGTCAGTAAAGATGACATTTGCCAAAATAGGGCTAAAACCTTATATTTGATATCACCAAAAATGGTAACCCGACCATATACTAGAGTTGTACTAGTCAAAAGGTTTAAATGGGTAATAACAAATTTCTGAAAGTGATCGATTGATATTGACACATTAATCCCTAAAATATACAGTCAAATATCATCCATTACAAAATTAGAGGATGGATTATACTCTTAAATGGAAGTCTAATACATTGTGTGTAAAGTATTGGAAAACACATTATAGATGTTTCACCTATTTTGAACTTAAAAGTTGTCGCTTATTAAGAGGGTTAAAGGTTTGCTCTCAATAGAGTTCATGAACTGGGAATTAGCACATGGCCATAATAGTGCTAGGAAAATATTTTTCCCATCAAAATAAGAGACAAGTATATATAGGACATTATCCGGCTCTATCATAAAGAGTAACTAGTTTAATGCTACAAAAACTAAAGACTTTCATAGAACTTTAAGGCCTTTGCACCAAGCAAAAGTTTAATTCGAAAGACACCTATATGTATATACCAATATCATTTTATACTGGTTGTAGTGTTGTTTTAATAAAATTGAAGTTTTTTTTTAATTTTGTTTTTCCAAACAAAAAGTGGGGGATCGTTAGAATTTGATTGATAAAAATAAAATTCTCACAATTGAAAAGGCACCTTAATCTAAAGAGACAAATTGTGTCTCTTGGAAGAACCCCATCATGATTTCAAAAGGTTTGGTTCTTAGAGTTTGACCGTGAAGATTTTAAAAGGTTTGACAGTTGAAAGTTGGTCGTTTGGATTTCAAAAGTATTGGCTGTTGGAAATGAGACTATTGGAAGCCCCTTTTCAATCCTATAAATAGAACACATCTCTAAACTTCAAAACTCATTTCTCTCAAAAAAAAAAAAAAACTCTTTCAAATATTTGCAATCTATACAAAACTTGTTTCATAGGGAATTACTAGAAAATTTCAGATTTGCTTTTAGAAATTTTTAATTTATGTTGTATCCTAGGAAGATAATTTGCAATAATCTAAAGCAAATTTAAATTACCAAGTGGGGCAAATATTTCTTCAAGGAAAGTGTTTCATACCTCAGAAATTACGTCTCATTTACTTTTATTAACATCATTATTGACAGCAAGTAGTCTTGTTTGATCCTTTAGGATCAACACAAGGATCCCCGTGAAAGAAAAACACTACAACAAGTGTATGCATGTGGTATCCCATACCTCAAATCAAATCAACCATGTTCATTCGAGTATTTACAATACCTCAGAAAAATGTACATGAACACCATAGTCTACTGTCGATTCATCGCACTCTTCAAATCTTGCTCCCTACATAAATAAGAGTTGACCAATTGATGTAATCAAGAGACATGTCAATCTTTCTCTGGTCCTTAAAAGTTGGGTCTGCTAATCACCCCCTTTCCACATACTGCCTTGTAAGTGTGGTAATGTCTTATCGCAGTGGGAAACAACAGCCAAAGTAGTAGATCCTCATAACCTTCCTAGACCGACAATGTCTATAAGGGTACAATGACAGCCCTCTATTATTTGTGGTCATCAATAACGGCACACACGCTGAGGGAATAATGATCCATCCTTAATCTCCTTATATCCGATCTAAGGACACGCTATATGGCAACGAGCTATAGTATTAGAGCATGCATCATTAAATGAATAATGTACAGACCCAAATTTCATCACTCCTTGATGAACTTGTCCGGCAATACCACCTTGTGATATGCCCAGGATCTCTTGACAAGTCTGCAGTTTATATGCCAAGTCAGGCCTCAAGTTTGACTGATAGTAACCAAGGGAAACTGATGTTTCCACTTCAATCGCTTCAGTGTATAAATTCACAACAACCTCATCTCCTGACCTAGTCAAGGCAACTAGTAGGCTCTTACTATCCACTAATGATGTATGTACATGGATTTGAAAGGGAAGAAGAATCTCAAGGAGTCAACCACTCAGTGATTCGTTGCAAGCAGAAATGGACAACATCCACTCATTTGTGTGAGTGGGAGTATGTTGGTTTTGATTGTTTTGGATAACACCGAAATAAGTGGGGTGGTTATATATCATATCATATAGATAAGATTAGTAACTAATTCTAATAAGACTAGGATTTCTATCTCTTATTCCTTATATACATTGATATAGGATAATTATGAAGATACATAAAAACCTTACAGTAAAATACTTGGAGTCATCATCTCATACCTTTAGTTAGTGTCGTTGTGTTTGTAACATGTAGGGTTTTCTCACCAGTTGCCCTCTGGCCATTGATCAAGATGTCTATGGCGATCCTATGATCCATTTGGAGATCTCTAAACTATGACTATGATTACTAGATGCACGCTAAGTTTTTATTTTGATTTCCATTGTGCATAATCTAGTAGTAGATCACCTAATATCACATAATATAGTAGTATTTTGTTACTGCAGAATGCTAGCTACACTTTTTTTGCAAAAAACTTTTAGGTAGCTGAAAATTGAACTACATATTCAAGAACTAGTTATAGGCCAGTGTTTATTTCAGAAGAGTAGCATCAACTAATACTCCACATAGTATATTTCAAGTGTCGATGCATGCTTAGCTTGAAAAGGAAAAAATGCTGAATAAAAAAGAGAATGAATGAAATCACCCAACTAATGCGATAACTTGGGCAGCATCTTGTCTCCCCCAGTACTCCTCTGTGCTTCCTGCGCGAGAAAAGTTAATGCACTGTGTAAAAAAATTGTAAAGTGTGTAAAAAAATGTGTACATTGTATACAAAAAGATGAAGTTCTATGTAAATTCTATACTCATATTTCAGTGTCTTACAATAATGTAGTAGATACTTGAAAACATAGATATAGGTGTCAATTTTCTAAAAGTTAAAATGCATGGCAGAGTACACATACACATGCTGGGAAAGTTGTTCTTTCTACCATAATCACTATTTACATGCACACATGTTGTTATCTTTCTTCCATAGTCATATCCTACATGCTATAAAGAAAATGTAGACATACATATCCGTTCATCTCATATTCGTGGTACTACGCGACAAGGCCTGAATATCTTCTTCTCATTGTTTACCTTTTAGGAAGAAGTGCCCTCTAACATTCATTTATTAGTATTGTTATTAATTATCATTATCATTATTATTTGCTAAACAAGTTTTTTGTTGATTCTATGATACTTGGCTGGCTGGAAGGATGCAAACAAGACATCACTAAACAATTTGGGTACCATGTTACTTCAACTAATGGATTTCAAAAGTCTTCACCATTTGCACTTTCCCTTGTACACATGATATGTGAAGAAGTTTACACCTACTGATACTCTAACAAAAGAGACGTGCTCGACTGTATACGTCACACCTAAAATCATAACTCCAAATTGCTTCTTATAGTTATAGTAAATAATAAATATAAATAACTGTCAAAGTAAAGTTCTAATATAATTAGAAAAGGGAAAAAATAATCTCAATTCTAACTAGGATCAAGGATAGGAAACTATCAAACCACAATTCAAAGATCCAGTCAGAGTTCTTTTTTCCTGAAAAAATTTTGAATTTCTTTTTTATTTGCACAAGAGTAAATCAAACCTTCAAATTTATGGAGATATGGGATTTTTTGCACATGCGTAGAATGTGTTAAGAAAGAAACCTCATGAAGGTGTCACCACAGGGTTTCACTTAAAATATGATCAATTTTGGCAAAAACTTGGGAAGTCAAGTAAAAACATTGACAAATGTTTTAATTAGCCATACCAGAGGGATTATGACTCATGGATTAAAGATTCATCCCACGATTAGGGTTTGTTATACACAATATCTATTTGATGCAAATTTTGAATGATGCATAATTCAGCAAAAGTACACAAACAATTTTGATAATTCAACACGACAGTTAGAGAATTATATATAAAGCATATCTGTGAAAGCCTCGTATCACTGGAAAAACTTCTAGTTTAGATGGGAATTAGATTTGATTCATCATTTGTAACTTTTAGTTAATTAACTTTATTTTGAATTCCAGTTTGGTGAGGATTGCATATATTTAATTTGAAGTTTTTTTTCATTTATTCTGTTTCATTGTTCTAGTTATAATTAGGATCCTAGTTTTCCTTTGGACCTATATATATTCATCATTGTATCACTCTAATTAGATATTGATGAATAAAAATTGGTTTTTATTGAAATTGCAATTAACATTAGCATGATGCAAAAGAGTGATTCCAAGAACTTAACCCAAAATCTCTAGTTATTGATCGTGTTTTGACCTAAAGAAGTGAAATCTCTGCTTCTTGTCAGAAGGATCTCATCATCCAAATAATAAAGAAATCTGCAGTATACCATTGAGACGACCTCACCATTCAAAATATCCTCAAGTTTGTCAAATGTACGTCATGTAGCTAGTATCAGTGGAGATGGTGGAACAAGCTCCTTTTGTTGTTGTTTCCCAGTTGAAGATGATGTTAAGGAATCATGACTGGTGTTGAAAAAATCAAAAGCTTCAAGGAAAGAGTTAGATCCTGAACATTATAGGCATGATTGATTCCAAGATCCTTCAGAATATCCAGTTCATAGGCATTCGAAACCAATCTTTCTCACAACTTCATAAGGACATGTCCAACATGCATTCAACTTCTTCAAGGCTCCTGAAGGAAACCTTTCAGAATGCACTCTTATCATAACTATCAATACATGCATGTTCGATTCTAGGTTTATCGGCAGCAATCTTATAACATTCCTATTCTTTTCACGTTAATAATTAGCAACAATTTACAATTTGTCTACAAAGTATCATAATGCAAATCACACAAATGTTGAGCAAATAACTCAGTTTGATTCATATCCAGAACCGAGGGGCATAAATTCTATTTCCAGGTTACAACAATACATGCCTAAAAAGGACTCAGATCCGGTAGATCTATAGACTGCAATTATATAGCAACTATGCCGAAGATAGCACTATATCCCAGTTGGACATCGCCCACAAGTAACACAACAAATCTCCAAGACTCTTATTAATCACCTCAGTTCGTCCATCAGCATGTGGATAGTAAGCAGTAGAAAGAAGAAATATATTGTAAGGTATTTAGTTTCCTCTAGAGGATACCAAAAGTGACTCATGGACCTAACATCTTATCTAAAACAACAACCTCTGAAAGAACATGCAAGTGAACAGCCTCCCGGAAGGAAAGGTTTGCAACATGTGAAGCCTCAACAATTTTACTACAGTGAAGAAATGTGCAAAAGCGATCTAACAACAAAAAAAAGAATAACACTCTTTTAAAGTACGAAATAATCCAAGCACGAATCATGCTAATATCCTCGCTTCGTGTGAAAGGGATGGAGCAATGTGTTTAATCTAATTTTCAGCTTCCAATCGTTTGCAGAGTGACAAGCGCAACCATTGTGACATCATTGACACATGACCCTCCACCAAGCTTATGACCTTATCACCGCCAAAATGTCCAATAACTCCTACGTGCATTTCCCATATCAATTGATTGCCTAATGAAGTGGTGAATGGCTACCTTAAACAAAAAACCATCTATAATGGTGAAACCCTATAATAAAATAAATGAATCTTGAGTGAAACAAGTAAAGATTTTTCCGAAATCCCAAAAAGCAGGATGGTTGTACCTGTACTCCTTACAAATCTTACCACTTCTGACCTCATGGTCTGCAAAGTCATCGTTATCTTACTCAATGCAACAAGTTTATTCTCGATACTGAAACAACCTTTGAGAATAAATGTGCACTCATAAATAAATTCAACCCACTAAGCATATCAGCGCCTTATTTTCTTCTGAGAATTAAGATAAGGTAAGACCTTATAGTCAGACTATCAAATGAGTTCTTTAAGTAACAGAAAGTGACACCAAGTGCGGAGACTCTACACTATGGCATAAAACCCGAGTCATAGTTTGAGCAAGGTTGCCTAGCCTCATTCAACTTCTTGCTATGGAAAGTGATTAGATAACCTTCTTAACTCAGCAGACAATCTATACCTATGCCTGACGTGTCACAAGCTACTGCTACACATTCAATAAACTATGTCTATCTCTCACCCAAAACAAAAAGTTGTATAAGCCGGTTAAAAGTGATATTAAGAAATTTTTAAATAAGATTTTCATGACAGCAGAAGTAGGAAGCAGCATCTAATACCCTTATGCTCACTTTGCAATGGAACTAAATTGACTGTTTTGAAGATGACAAATAAACACGCACTTAACGTCAAAGATGAGGGCAACATCAATCAGTCAAGTGTCCTATGCTCCTATGCTCATAGGTTGCAAACTTGCAATAAAGAACAACTTTAGATAAAGAAGCTGATAACATTAAAGCTTACATCAGCATAAAAATGTGAAACTATGCGGAATCACTCTTTTACAATGTGTTTAAGCGCTATAGTACCATCTTCACATTTCATTTTCTTAAGACTTCTATCACCAACAATTTTCCTTCCATGTCCTGACAATTCATTCACTGTTACTTTGTTTTTTATCCTCCAAATTATTACATGAAATTTTAATGATAGCATAAGTAGGAGCAGCATATAACGCCCTGATATTGACTTCTTGAAATACATTCACAAACCTAAGTTTTAGAAGACATGACAAATAAACACTTGCACCACAATACCATTTCAGAATCATCGAGTTTATCTTGTCACCTTGTTAAAGTTAGCAACTTCTTTTTAATGTCCTAATAGCAACTTAATCCCATTTTAATGGTTTAGTAGGGAACTCTGAAAGGATTTACTCTGCATCCCATACTACTAAGAGATGGTATCCAAAAATTTCAGCTCATATTCAATTTGGTGAGCAAGGTAGATTGTCGTTGTATAACAAAGACACCTAGATCAGGGAAGCACTTTCACTCAGAGTCTATAATCTGGATTCACACCTTTATGCAAGAAGGACAGATCATATGCACTTGATATATAGGAATAAGTGTGTAAATAAAGATCAAATGTATTCGTAGAGTTTTCCCAACCTGGCAACTTCCATAACTTAATGATCTCAAAAAATAAAACCATTTCAAATCTTACTATATTAATATTATACCGAGTTATCTATCCTCTCAGACAAGCTTCTCAGGATCATTTTCACCAAACAAAATTTTGAAGACTTCCTTCTTTGTCCTTCCTCTCCAAATTCTTACAATTTTGATCTTCTCTTTTGCAAACCCAAGTTTGCCTTGGCATGTTCAAAACTCTTATCCTCTAATAGCCATCAACATATTATATTAAACAGTAAAATGTCTATCCTCAAATATTTTCCTTAATTCAAGCAACAGTGAGGCGTAGAGGTAATCTCTATAATGATTCAGTTTACTAACTAAGAAGCTAAGTGGATTATGCTGCTCAAGTAAGTAGATAAACATGCATAGAGTTAAAAGCTAAAATTTTACAGAGATTCATACCGATTTCTAAAAACATGGTTGGTGTATTGACAAGAGGTCCATGATGAGTTCCTTCCAGAGTAACCTGCATGACGCATTAAAGAAAAGGCATTATTTGCACCAAAATTTGTAAATGATAAGGAAAAACCATCATTCTAGTTGATAAAGAAAAAATTGCAACACATGATATAAACACATGATAAATATAAACCCGACAAGTTATGTTGCCAGCATGATAGTGAGAAGAAAAGAAACGTGCCATGGAAAAATACAAGAGGAAAATTTCTGTAGAGGAGAAGCAGGTTACTTCGCTCGTGGAAGCCTTACAACCTATCATTCTCCCAAATACAAAGTAGTAATCTTGAGATACGAAGGGCTGATGAAAGAAAGAGCAGGGAGTATGTTCAATGGATGTTGTAATATTTTCAACATTGGGCATCACAAAATATGAAATTGGGTCGAGTTGGTCAATTTAGTCATGCACTTGCCACATCCATCTGTGTCTCTCTAAAGTTCAGATCTCAAAACCCCTCCTCCCAAACCTCTCTCTTCCCCATCCCACCATCACCCACTCAGCCTGATGCATGACAGATCCAGATCTAAATCTAGCAGATAATTTGATGAAAGATTTTACTTAGGATTTTATTTTTTTAAAAGGATTTGATTACTCTTTTAGTTGAGATCTTTAATAAGGATTGAATTTGTTGTTTAGTTAGGGCTGATTGTTTGATGTTATCTGCTAGTTAAGATTAGATTTTATTTTATTTCTATAAAAAGGGTTGTATTTCCACATTTGAGAAGCAAAAAATGTTTGTGAGAACTCTATATGTGAATTGCAGCTAGTATTAGGCAATGAGTTGCCCGCATATGGAGTGTCCCGGTATGAAGCCTATCATTTCATTTGTAATATTCAAAACCACGATTTTATTTTGTCATCCGAGAGCACTTAACAATTACTCGTGTCATGCGCTGATTAATCATATTATGCAAAATTATGCATTTTTGAATTTTTACTATATATTTATTGTTTATCATAAGTTAAAATATATAATATTCATGAAAAATAGAAAATGCTTAGAAAGTTCTGCTAATCAAAAAAATCTTCAAAGGGAATGCTAGAGAGCTTCGGGTGATCATCAGAGAGCTTGTAGGAGAGCGTCGAAGGTTATACAATCTTCTAATGAGTTTTGCAAGCAAGGAGGTCAAGTTATAAGCATGGAAGAAGGCTGGAGATAGTTTAATGGTTCGAACGAGAGAGAATGGAGATAGTGGAACTTTGAGAAAACTTTAGCATTTGGTTTTTTTATTAGGTTAGCTTTGCGGTAACTGGCTTGACCCAAAAAAGAATTAAAGGAATAAAAAAGGTTATGCAGGTGCTTTTTGAAAATGCACCCAATTATATGGATGACCGCATAATGGACCACTTTTCCCTAACTGAAACAATTGGAACCTGCTTAAGCATAAGCGGCCTTTTACACAACCACTTAATCCATATTTTAGAACACTAATCATTTGTATCTTATTTTTCTAGATGAAAAGTGTAATTTCTATATTGTTTTTTATTTTAATTTATCCAAATATTCATTCTCAACAAATCACTATGCTTCTAATCTCCATCATTTGGTATCAGAGTTGAAGTCCATCGGTGCAGCTATCGACATCGACAATGCAACAATTCAAAGTATCAATGCTATGCAATTTTAGAATTGAGGGTGAGTTTCTTCGAGATGGCGAGATTTAATGCAGAACAAATCCATATCTAAATCCAGTAGAAGATTTAATGAATATATTCGTTAGGATTTTTATTTTTCAAGGGTTTGATTTTTCCTTTAGCTGAGATCTTTAGTTAGATTTAATTTTGTTGTAAGTTAGGACTGTATTTAATATTTTGTTAGGATGTATTATTTGATCTTGTTTATTAGTTAGAATTTGATTTGTGTTTTATTCCTATAAGAGAAGTTGCATTTCATTTGAGGAGAGAAAAATGTTTGTGAAAACCCTACAAGTGAATTGAAACAAGTATTAAGCATGTGAATTACCGGCAAGTGAAGTGCCCGGGTGTGAAGCTCATCATTTGTATCTTTTCTTTAAATGAAGAATACAATTTTTATATTTTTATTCAAATAATCATTCTCAACAGATCACCATGCTTTCGTTCCTCATCACAGCCCTACGCCTACAACAAAAAGAAAAAAAAAAGAAAAACACTCTTGGAAATATGTTCCTAGTTTCCTCTTAGAGGAATTAACCTAGAAATTGGCAGATTTCACATAGGGTTTGCCAAATTTGGCCAATATGAGTCTATATGGTGTATGACTTGGTTGTTCCAGACATGCGCCGGAATAGCTAATAGTCTTGGTATTCTTGTTTCATTGATTTCTTTTGTCCTTCACACGCTTTGGTAGTGAATATCGAGCAAGACAAGCTTGTTGCTACATAAATATACTCAATCGGGTAGGCTCGACTGATTATAGTCTGGTGTATCTACGAAATTGATCAACAATTTGAGTAGGGAGGACGCTCTAATTATTACCTAGAGGAAATGAGTGTGGAGAAAAGGTGTTGCTTGTAGTTGTTTACCATATGTCCTTCAGCATGAACATTGAGTTATTAATGATTTGTTTTTGCGATCTAGCTATTTCCTAGCGCAAGCACACGAGTTATGGATATTAATCAAAGTTTAAGCCTTCTAATGTTATTACTTTTTTATTGGTAAAATATGTGTCCCAAGATGTTATTCGGGTCCAAACCAGATATTAGTTCAGAAGAAGAAAGGCTAACACTCGATTTGTATGTCAACGACAAGATCAAACTATTATATGAAACCTAATCATTAGTTCAATATTCAAGTGAATTATAATGTGACATGGTTTATTTTATTTGATTTTGGACCTTATGGATTCCTGTGTACATAAAGAATGTCGCATTTCCGAAGGGAAAAATATTAAAGCTAAAATGAGATGAAAGAATGCTGGAGTTAACACAAAATTCTGAAGGACTAACTGATTTTTGAGTGGAGTAAAAGCATTGACTCATTTAAATAGCAGCCAAGTTGAGATATACCTCATAAAGGCAAGCGAGAGTTTCTAATTCATAACAAGGAATGAGAAGAATGAAAGAAAGCGAAGTGAGTTAAATGATAAAAGACACATATCGATCAAGACAATGAGTAGGTTGATAGATGAAGATAAATTATAGTAATCATGAGCAACACCGATAATATTTGTATATATTTGAAATGTATAAAGTACTAGAAAATGAAAATATCAATAGATAGGCATTACAAGAAGTAAATAGACAAGAATTTCTCTATTAAGAGGGAATAAGATTTCAGAACTACTAGAGAGGCAACAATCCCAGTTTAGCTCACTCAGTTCTACGTTGGGATGATGGTCGTGATGATGATGCTACTGCAGAGGAGGCAGATTAAAAAAACAAGGACACATTGACCTTAGTATAATTTAAGGCAATTAATAGGGCGTAAATTCATGATAGTTTGTGTTTATTGTACTATTTTGTGGTTCTACGCCCATCATTTATGTTGACATGTCACATATTGAAACATTATCGGTTCAGTTAAATTACGTATGTTGTGATGAATAGTTCTAAGTCACTTAGATGCTCTGAGTATGATATAATGTTTTCACTAGGATAACTTAGTTTGCGAGTTGGTAATTGATTTATTATTTTTTCTCTTGTATATGTGCAATGTTGTATTCATGGTAAGGGAGAAATTGATCGGATAGGGACATGTCGCATTTTCTACACCTGCATTTGTTTATTAATCACGGTTATGGATACGAACATAGTTATAAGCAAAGTTCATATTTAAATCCAAGAAAATTTGATATGAATATAGATTAAATGTGTGGAAACATATAGAATATATATTAGATATGAGAAAATGATCGAGACTGGAGGCTATATAGCTCATGTGACATAAGAACTATCTAAATGAAACAAATTCTCACAAATAGGAGTCCAGAAATTTATTTGCTCACACAAAAACCTAGTGATAGACTCCTGAATCACCAAAATTGGCTTCGGAACCACTACTCTAAGGTCAATACATTTCAGCCATGTAATTAACATGATTATTCAAATACTTTTATATTTACCAATATTTGTATCCATATATGACTAAAACAAGATCCATTTCCACATCAATATGCTATTGGATATCAACAATTAATATTTTTGTACTCGTTATTTGTGATTATGGATATCCGTATCTTATGTATTTATTATTGATACACATCACTATGTAAACATTCATAATTTAGTGAGAAGTTGTTAATACATATTATCTTCCTTCATTATTGCAATCGCCTTTTCGAGATCTCTGGACTAAGGCAATATACTACATTGGAGCTTTGGCCTCCCTTTTCAGCTTTAGAACTCTGCTTATGTTGTAGATATATCCTCTTAAATGCCTCTTTAGTTAATCTTGACTTAGCACATCTCTTGCCAGCCCGACTAACTAGGTTGCTTGACATACATGTAAATCAACAAGAATATAACCATAAAGAAAATAAATAATTTTTCCTGTCCATTCTCTTGTTTCACAATATCACCAAATTCAACACCTTCCTAGTTGAGTCACGATAGAAGCCTAGGTTGCACGGATATGGGTACGGGTGTGGACACGGACATGGACATGGGCACGGGATGCAACAAATTTGTAAAAGGGACACCTAGTGACACACATGTATACATAAAATATTTACATTAGATCAAATACTAAATTAAAATACCCATAACATTTGTATATTTCTTTTACTATCTATAACAATTAAGAATCCAGTTAAATCAAAACGACAAACAAAAATTTAGATTTAATAAGTTTAATTTTGGTAGCATTTGTGGCATATGGTACGATGTGTTTTTTTTTAAATCTTAAGTATGGTTTTGGTTATTAGATTTAAAAATCTATTGGTTTTGAGCATGATATACCAAAGAACGTAGCTTATGGTTATAAGTAATTGGGACGGGCTGATTTGAACCACACGTGTCCACGGCGTCGCTATTGTGAATCCGTGTCCGACACGTGTCTAACACAGATACAACACCCAAACCGAAGTGTCTGGTAACCTAGATAGAAGCTCATTCTCATGATCCAGTCAACCATATCTACCTATTTCTTTGTCAACTTTGAAATGATTACTTGATTGTTAGGGAAGTCTTCTCTCTTTTCCCCTCTTCAACTCGGAAACTTCCCAGTTGTGTCAAGATAGGAGTTGGCCAATGTGTGCTTGCCCTCGAGAGATCTGCCTTTTTTTAAGTTCAAAAACGTTATCTCTGGAGCTCCAAATTCAAAAATCTTACTAGCAAGGACCCAAGAGCATGATAGCAATTGGCTGATGTGGCCACACATTGGCCAAATACACTTACTTCTTTAGCAAGTTCACAAGGGATCTATTTGACCAACATGTTGAGCTTATTGTACGTTGCATTCTCTAAGACTCTGGCCGATCATGAAATATGTAGGCCAAATTTGGCTAACATGGGTCGACCACTGATTTTGTGCTAATTACACTTGAATTGGTTGGGTTAGGCCTCGATGTGCATGTTTCTTTTACTTCAACCCTAGCAGAAATCAATTAAGCAAGCAAGTTGAGCTAAAATTTTCTGGTTTTCAATTGTATTATGAATTTGTAGAGCTCAGTTACTTATGGCAAGTTAGGTTATAATAAAATTTCACCTGTTACTTGGAAGTAATGAGAGCAGACACTAAACGACAGGTTTTGTTTGCAGTTGTATGGTACTTTGTAGAGGATGTGGAGTTCAGAAGTTGTTGATTACCCCCTTTCCATGTGATTTTTCTAACAGATTCAGTTTGTTGTTCGCAAAATCAATAAGCATTAACGACCATATCACAGGGGGGGAAAATCAATAGGCCATGGGGATTGATGATCAACAAGAGAAGAAAAGTGATAGAGCTAATCAAATCAAGATAGCCGACATGTTGATTGGGGAGCATTCCACTAGCTGGCATGTGACATCAAACACATTAGTGTTAGTTTTATCAAATTATTTGTGTGCACGTGGGCGTGTAAAGATGGGATATCATGTTGCCCCTAACCCTACAATTTAGAAAATGTTTCATTAAAACATCTCCAACAAAATGTGTGGCCTTCTGCTCCGGCATTCTTCTCATTAAAAGAAGAGCAAGTAATCCTAATATGTAGCTTATACCTCTCCATTCTTTTCGAGTTGAATACATAAACAATCACCACTCCACATCTTGTGCATATCACAAGTCCAAAGTAATCAAGCTTAGGTCTTCGCCGTTGGCCCAAAACCATTTAAGTCCAATTACTACTCCCAAGTTATCCACGAAAACATCAAATTCAAGGAACCAAACAACGTGCAGAGTGAAGATCTATCACCTCAAACTCGGGAACAAGCCCTTGGTCCTCCGCAATCGTCACCACGGCCCAATCCTAGGGTTCGGCAGTCCAGCCCAGCCAGGCTTCCCTCCTTGTGGCGGGACCTCATCATCCCTCAAATGCGGCACGCCTTAAGCAAATCACCGACATCCCAACATCAACGGAAAATAATCCACCAAAAACAAGAAGAAAAGAAAAGAAAGAAAGGGAAAGGAAACCGACCGATAGGATGAACAGTTAGGGCAGGGCGATTAGAGACGGCGGTGTGGCGACTCAAGAAGATGCAAGCCTCGGAAGACGGACTCGCCGGTGGCCTCCTCCCACCGGCGATCCATGTAGCTCTGCGGCCACGCATTGCATGCCCTCTTCGTGCCTTCACCGCAGGCGGACGTCGCCATTGCGAGAAGCTCGCGGGTTCCACCCTGGAAACCAATAAAAGGGTACGAGGGGGCGAGAAACGGCGTGGCAAGTTTTTTTTTATTATTTTTGGTTTCCATTGTTATGGGGAGCAAGGGCAAGGCGGGGAACGGGGTAACGGACGGGGAGGGTGGCGCCCGGGGACTAGCCCGGCGCATGGAGAGGAGCGGAGGCGGGGCCCACCGCGTAGGCCGGGTCGGCGGCGTGGCGCGACCGAGGTGTCACCAATTGGCCTGAATGAGGCGCGGCCGGGTGATAGATTTCGGAATCGACGTGGAAAACGGTCCCTGTGCTGTGCAGAGTGTAAACAGATGAGCCGAAGGAGGCATTCAATGGGAGTGTTTCTGGCGAGTTCCCATACGGCTAACGTGCGGGCTCCGATATATATCTTTTCTTTTTTTTTTTCCTCCGCATCGAGCAGCAAGCCCTCAATTTCGACACGAAAAGCTTTTATCAAAACTATGGGGCAAAGCTTTACGAAAACGATGGGCGCTCTTAGTCCTTGGGCACATTCTTAGACTATCTCTAGCCGGAGTCGAAATTTTAACTTTCTCTCTCCTACCACATCACTTTATTCCCCCTCCACATAATTCAACAATCTTTGTTTTCTATCATCTTCATTTTCTATCATCTCTACAGCAGGAGTTTTTTCAAAAGATTTTTACTTTATTTGGGACTCACTATAACTCCATCACTCCAACATATATACCCCACCTTATTTATTCATTTCTTTTTCTTATTTCATATATATTACTACTACTACTATTATATTACTAATATAACTCATTTATTTATAATTATAATTTTTTAATATTTACATAAATAATATATATTATTAATTTAATTTTTGATAATATTTTTATATTAACAAAAAAACACACGATTTTATTAAGCATACGGAAAAGTCAAACACACACAAATTATTGAAAACATTAAAGAAAACACACATTAAATTGGTAAATCTAATCAGAGGTTGTTCCAAATTTCTGCCAAATGTGCTCGATGAGATCCTTTTTCAACTGAATATGTTGGCTCCTATCTCGTAGTTCGGCTCTAGTATGATTATCCGATCCGGATCGGTCTCGGACATGGACTTGAAACTTAGGCAATACGTCTGTTTGAACACTGGAAGAGGCGGAAGAGCTAGGATTGTTTGACGGTTCAAAGTCGATATTTTCCCAGTTTCGCGAATACGAATCTCGTTCATCTTCCACTATCATGTTATGTAAAATAATGCACGCCCTCATTATTTTACCTAAGACTTCAAGATCCCACGTTCGAGCTGGTTGGCGGACAATAGCAAACCGTGCTTGGAGAACCCCGAATGCGCGCTCCACGTCCTTCCTGCATGACTCCTGTTGTTTGGCAAAACATTGTTGTTTGGATCCCTGGGGCATTTGAATTGACTGGACGAAGACAGACCATTTTGGGTAGATTCCGTCAGCAAGATAGTATGCAATATTGTACTGCCGTCCATTAACAGTGAAGTTTACCCTTGAAGCTTCACCAGACTCAATGTCATAAAAAACGGGTGACCTATCTAGTACATTTATGTCGTTCAAACTACCAGGAAGCCCAAAAAAAGCATGCCATATCCACAAATCATATGACGCAACTGCCTCGAGAATAACTGTTGCTGTGCCCTTGTGTCCACTAGTAAACTGCCCTTGCCAAGCCTTTGGACAATTTTTCCACTGCCAATGCATGCAATCGATACTTCCAATCATCCCTGGGAAACCACGCTCTTGTCCAACTTGGATTAACCTCTGCAAGTCTTGCACATTGGGTCGTCTTAAGTATTCATCTTGAAACAAGGCTATTACCCCTTCGCAAAACCTCTGAGTACACTCAACCGCAGTAGATTCTCCTATCTTCACGTACTTATCACAAGCATCAGCTGCTACTCCAGATGCGAGCATGCGTAGGGCAGCAGTACACTTTTGGATAGGGGTTAAACCAAGCTTGCCCGCATTATTACGACGTTGTATGAAGTAAACGTCGAAATTTGACATAGAATCCACAATTCGTAGATCGAGAGGCCTATTCATTCGATACCTTCGTCGAAATTGGGCATCAGTGTATGTGCATGATTCGGCAAAGTAGTCGGCCATGAGCCTCTCATGCGCTGCTTGATGATCTCTATATATGGACTTTCTCTTGCGCGGTTGTTCTTCTCTCCTAAGCAACTCTTCAAGCAGTTCTTGTTGCCTATCAAACATTTTATCTTCTAACTCCCATTCTTGTTGGAAGTATTCGAGATTGAATTCATTTAGGTTTGGATCCATTGGAGGGTATGTAGAAAAAATGTTGATAGGTATACTCCAAGTTGTGCATTTGGTCAGCATTTATAATGAAAACCTTTGTTCAAAAACATGCAATTGCAACGACATGTGGCGTATGTCTTTAATTACAGAGAGTTGTCAATTCATGCCTTGTCTTTAATTGCATAGAGTGGTCAATTCAACCCTTCGTCTTTAATTGCAGGGAGTTGTCAATTCATACCAGAGAGTTGTCAATTCATACATTTTTTAACTTTAATTGCAGAGACTTGTCAATTCAATTGGAGAGGGAGTAGTCATTTCAATTGGATTTATTCTAATAAAAAACAACGATTTTATTCAACACTCCAATTTCAACACACAAAACGCTTAAAAAAAACACATAAACAAACTAACAGACAAACAACAACTTCTTCATTTGCCAAACAGTTCTTTCCTCAACAGCTGATATGCTTCTTCATCTTCATCGTCACGATCTGGTTTGTTTTTCAAAAATCTCCACGTCTCCATATTCTTGGCACGAGCGAGGACATTCATAGCTTCAACAGTACTTGCTCTTTTCGCTTCCGCCTTTTCACGAGAGGTGACTATATTGGATAACTCATCGAGAAGTTCGACCTTCGATTTCCTTGGTTTACTGGACGAAGCTCTAGCTTTCTTCTTTGTCGTGTCCCTACCCTCAGGACGCACGAAGGTAGGAGCGGAGGATTCAACATCTTCACTACTACTCTTTCTTTTCGAACCGCTACTACCCGATACTGCTACTCCTGGCATATATTTTGGTTGATTGCGAACAACCTTCCACTCATCCACCAAATTAAACGATGTACCCATTTTCTCAAAGTACAACTCCCTGCCTTTGGATATGTAGTTTTCATCAGACCAACCACTTTGCTTCTCCCTACATGCAGTACTGTAACAGCCAATGAAATTAGAAATTTTTCTGTTGATGTCTTTGTAATGACTCTGGCACCGAGCTATGGTCCTCTCTTTTCCACTCTTGCCATTCTCATTCTCATTCACATACTGTGTAATTTTACCCCAGAAAGTTTCACCTTTTTGGTTGTTCCCCAGCTCACTATCATTACTAGCGTGAAAATAAGCAGTTAGCAGAATTATGTTGTCTTCTGTGCTCCAACTATCGTAACTTGATCTCTTTGTTGGTTGTTGGGTTGGAGGTAGAAAACTATGAGGAGTATCCCCACCAACATTTCCCAAAGAGATCTGGGTGGAAAACTCCGGGATTTCTGTAGATCCGCTACTGAACCGGGGTGTCGGTGGCTCAATCGACTCCGTGGTAGGGAAATTCATATGGGATGGAACATAGCTGCGTCTCGCAGCTGGATGATAACCGTAAGGAAGATAAGGGTATTGCATGCCAAAATTTGGTGGCATCATATACGGCATTTAAAAATTGGGTTGCATACCAGCATTTTGAGTAATTTCCGGGGCTTGCATATTTGGATTTTGAGGGTTGGTATTTTGAGGCTGGTTAGGAAAGTTGTAGGAGAAATTAGGATAATCTTGTGAAGGATCCATTTGAAAAAGTTTGAAGAATATAGAAGCAAAAACAAAGAGAAGGAGAATAATGTGTTGAAAACTCAGATTTTTTTTGGTGTCCAAATTACACAAGACTTATCTCTATTTATAGAGGTGAAAAAATAAAAATTATTGCTATAAAAATTATAAATTAATTCCTAGTATTTATCTCCCAAAATATCATTTAAAAATTAGGAGTAAAACAAAAAACGCCAACCAATCAAGCCTTGACACATGGATTGATACATGGGCTGATCACATTTTGCGGGTGTTCGCGGGAAAAATCGTGTCTTTCTTTGTAATTGATTCCATTGTCATCTTAAATAACAGCTTTTTGAGTTACAAAAGATCCGGTTACAATGAAAATCAAAGAAAAATAAACAAAGATTACAACTTTCTCCTTTTGTGTCGAACAAATCACGAGCTCCTGTTTTGCGGTCGCTCGCTTTGTGGGTTCTTTGCCTGCGCCGGGGTTTATCCGTGGACCACCGCGAGATCTAGATCCGGTCGGATCTACGCAGTACAACGGGTATTATTTCACCAATGAAATAATAGCCGGGGGGGATTGGTTCACCAAGGAAACAATCGCCCAAATCTCGGGATCAAAGACCAATCTTTGATCCGGAGTGTGCCTACGTAGATCTGAGATCCGGTCCTCTCGAACTCTTGCCTTATTTGGCGTTGACGATCGCCAAGCACCAGATCTGGATGAGCAAGTCCTCGAAGTCCTAAAGTTTGAATCTTTTTTAGATCTGAGTCTTCAATCCAGCAGGGCTTCGCCTCCAAAAAATCCAACCTTTCAAAAATGAGCCTACAGCCCTCTATTTATAGGCATTGAAAGCGGATCTGGGCCCAGATCAGGGCCCAGATCCGAGCTGGCTCGGCCAGGTGGCTCGGCCAGGCCGAGACACTTGTGAGTGTCTCGGGTATTTTGAACATAACTTTCTCGTATGATCTCCAAATGATCTGATCCAAGATACATTGGAAATCTGACAAAGAGATCTACAACTTTTATGTTTTGAGTTTCTTCATATTCTAACAGGATCATGATCAAAATAGCTCCACAAGTTCCGAGACACCTTTGGGTGTCTCGGCCAGGTCCGAGACACCTCTGGGTGTCTCGGCTCTATTTTAGACATAACTTCCTCATATGACCTCCAAATAACCTGATTCCAGATGGGTTGGAAAGTTGACAAAAATATCTACAACTTTTCTGTTTTGAGTTTCTTCATATATGCAAACGGGATCATGGTCAAAATAGCTTCACAAGTTCCGAGACACCTTTGGGTGTCTCGGCCAGGTCCGAGACACCTCCGGGTGTCTTGGTGCTATTTTAGGCATAACGTCCTCATATGACCTCTAAATGACCTGATTCTAGATGGGTTGGAAAGTTGACAAAAATATCTACAACTTTCCTGTTTTGAGTTTCTTCATATTCAAATGGGATCATGGTCAAAACAGCTCCACAAGTTTCGAGACACCTTTGGGTGTCTCGGCTCGGGCTGAGACATTTTGTTTTGCACACTTGTCCATTTTCGCCATAACTTTTTCATCCGAACTCGGATTTAAGCGATTCAAAGTGCGTTGGAAATACGATGAGGAGTTCTATAAGATCCAATGATTAGATCATCTGTAGAATAAATGAGACACGAAGGGTATTTCGTCTTTTGTAAGTGACACGGGGCTCCCGATCCGTTCGTATCCTCATTATTCCGAAACTCCGTTGCTTCACATAGTTCGTCAACCCACTTCATGTGTTTGTTGACATTAATCAAGCTCCTGTGACTTAGATTTTCGTTCTGTCGAATCGGCATCGTCGAGCTGTGTAACGGGACCTATAGGCAATTTTATACGCCTACAGATACCCCCTCCAAAGTATTTTAGTCTCATTCTTTTATAGAAGAGTCTGGAATACTTTGGATGTGATTGTCCCAACCTTTAGTCGGAATAACGGGACTTTGGAATGACTTTTGTTCTGTATTCCTTCAATCCTTCAGGCCATTCAGTGCTTTGTAGAATGCCTGTAGGGGTTCCGGTGCTGCATTTATTGTCTGACCGTCTGTTAGAATTTTGAATTTGAAGTCGATTTTCGATTTTCTGACTTTTTAGCTCGAGTTGGTTATTTCAACATAGAACCGACCATCGGTCGTCGGCGTTGAATCTCCATTTACAGGGCCGCATAGATCGAGTTGAGGCTGATCTTGCCACTAGATCATCTTCCCTTGAGGAGCTTGATTCTCAGATAGATCAGCTCCGACGAGAACTCCGTGAGAAGGAAGACACAAAGATGCAGAATCAGCAAGCAAATGCTGCTTTATCTGATGAGCTGAAGTCCTTGAAGCAGACACTGGCTGAGACAGAGGAGGTTGCTGTGAGGACTTTAGCCGCGAACGAAGAGTCTGTCAGAGCTGAGTTGCAGGAGGAGCTTAGACGCTCTTATGACGAGAAGTTATCTGAATTCAGTCAGCAGATTCTTAGCCATGGGCTTGATGTATGATTTTATTTGCTGAAAACCTTGACATTTGATTCTCTTTAGTGGACCTGATTTTTGTCTTTATCTTTATTATGATTCCTCATTCCGTTTGAAATGATTGACCATAATACTCATAGGATTTTTGGCAAACCCCCAGCCTTCAACGGGTTTGATTAGCCTTTACCGACTACCGTTTGAGTCGGGCTAGCATGCGGATTATCGGAATCCGTTCCGCATGTAACGTTGTGCTAAGGGAATGAACTCCCTTAGACTTCGTGCTATGATGTCGAATACATAGACTTCGCCATTGTTACGGGAATAGGCTACCCGGCGACACGTGTTAGGTGTTGACTTTAGGATTTTTGGCTAACCCCCAGCCTTCAACGGGTTTGATTAGCCTTTACCGACTACCGTTTGAGTCGGGCTAGCATGCGGATTGTCGGAATCCGTTCCGCATGTAACGTTGTGCTAAGGGAATGAACTCCCTTAGACTTCGTGCTATGATGTCGAATACATAGACTTCGCCATTGTTACGGGAATAGGCTACCCGGCGACACGTGTTAGGTGTTGACTTTAGGATTTTTGGCTAACCCCCAGCCTTCAACGGGTTTGATTAGCCTTTACCGACTACCGTTTGAGTCGGGCTAGCATGCGGATTGTCTAACTCCGTTCGCATGTAACGTTGTGCTAAGAGAATGAATTCTCTTAGACTTCGTGCTATGATGTCGAATACATAGACTTCGCCATTGTTACGGGAATAGGCTACCCGGCAACACGTGTTAGGTGTTGACTTTATCCCTACTTAGGTTTCGGGATAAAATACCCCAGACTGGTCTTCTGGTGTCTTTTTCTACGGCGAAAGACTAAACCGGCGACGCGTGTTAGGCGTCGGCATATCCTTTCTTAGGATTCAGGATGAAATTCCCCATGCGTGTAAGGCATGGATTTTGGTGTTATTAATGACGACCTGCCACAATGTTGAATATGTGGACGG